ATTTTTTGTAGGTTTCAATACGATGGCCCATGTTAATATGGTATGGGGCCGTCGTAAAAATCCAATTCTTATCTGTATTTAAAAATTAATAAAATTTCTGTTTAACGTATCAAGGATTTCAAAAATAATTGTAGATATTTTCATTTTGAGCCGTTACAGACCATGTTTGAGCCGTTTCGCTTCTATAATTTGATCTACTCAAATTCGAAATCTACTTTTAAAGAAAAAAATGAGAAGCCTTTTAAAAGAATAAATAAATTCACTTTTTCATAATTAAACTCAGTGATATTTTAAGATAATTTTTGTTATTCATTATGATGATGCACCACTGAACATTTAAACTTAAATTGCAACTGAAATATTGTGTAATTTTATAATAAGGTGATAAAATTACAATGTTTGAATCACGAAAAACTATTTTGGTGCACAAGCCACCATATCAATTTCCAAACTGTTGGTTTCACATCCCAGATGAAGTAAGTGTTTTGTTTGATTTGTTCGAATGTTATAACACAAATTATTACTATTATCTATCTTTTTTAGAACGATTATTCTGATGGATCTAATATACCGACATATGACCTTGAGCTCACAAAATCTGCCATGGATCAAACATTTAATCTTTGCGAATCATTAAACGTAGCAAGAAAGAACATAAATACCGAAGAAGACGACTGGGAAGAAAAGGTTTCCAAACTGGGATGGTCTACAAAACATCATCAATTGTTCAATCTAATCGTTAAAGTTCTTGACTATGATCGTCTTTCTCGTCTTGCTAATGTCAACAATAAGCGTTACGAAGCAATTCAAAGACGAATATCAATTGATAAATCAGCTGATAGAATGCGGAAAGCACTTGCAAGTGTTTCTTGGGATATACAAATGTGTCAATGGATTCATGGAATTTTCATGGACCAGCTTCCGTCAAGCTATCTTGCATCATATTTAGAGATAATGCAAACATTGAAAGTGAAATTACCTTCTCTGGTCGATAAAATGATTTTCTGGAAGCCAGGAAGTGTCAATCAAGATCTGCTTGCTCCGATTCTCAAAAAACCTTGGCAGCCTGTGCTTAACAATAAAGTATGTAAACATTATTGATTCTATGAAGTTGGTCTAAATAAATTTAACTTCTTTGCAGTATCGGAAACTTCCAGGAAATCCTTTACTTGTGGTAATTCCTTCTGCAGCACCTCGTCTTACGCCACAATCTTCTCGTTTACAGAAACTTTATACTCTCTTCACAACAATGGCGCCAATGCTTCCAGTACAATTAAATATCAATGGAATTGCAGCTCAAAATCAATCACTTCAATCAATCGCTGAACAAACTGTGTCGATAACTCGAACAAAAATTCAAGAACTGCAAGCTGAAAATCCAGATCGTCGATTGATCTTAATAGGAATGAATTCAGCATCAGTTTTAGCTATGCAAGTAGCTTTAGTTGAGCAAGTTTCTGGTGTTGTTTGTTTTGGCTTCTCTTACAACACAGTACACGGTGTACGAGGACAAGCTGATGATCAATTACTTGGACTTTCAACGCCAGTTTTATTTCTTGTTGGTCAAAATGCTGCACGCAGCAATGAAGAAGAAATTGAATTCTTTCGAGAGAAAATGTCTGCGCCAACTTCATTAGTTGTAGTTGGATCAGCTGATGATTTCCTAAGAGTCACTAAAACGAAACGTCGAATTGAAGGAGTAACACAAGAAATGGTTGACAACATGATTGTTGATGAAATTGCTGAATTTTCAACGAAATGTCTTCAAAGACCTTTGAAAATCAAACCAAAAGTTTCTTTCAACGCACCAATACGTGACATTGATTCCTCTTGTGGACAATTGAAGAAGAAAATGAAACTGACTAATATTGATGAAAATAATTCAAGCAAAGTTCTTAATAAATCACAAAAAAACATGAGACCGACATCGACGACAGGAATTTCTGGAATAAATGAAGATGCAACTGAAATGGCAGTACAAAGTATTTTACCAGCGGATCATGAGGAACAAATTCCAGCACAAACAATCAAATCATCATCTACAAAGTTTATCACTGGAAATCGAATTGTTACTAGTGCTGTAGAAAAGAAAATGGTTTTGTCAGTTAAACCACAAGTAACAAAATCCAAGTTCATTGCAATGAGAGGAGAGAAAAATCCAAGAATTAATATCCAATCACGACCGATTTCCAAAGCGGGATCGAGATCAGTAACGCCATCATCGCAGCCATACGTGCTCAATAATCGAGGTTTGACGGTTGGGAAGTCAACTCAATCTCAGCAACAAAGCTTCAGTCCTACAAAGTACACAATAGTCCGGTCAACGTCAAATATTCCTAACGTTTCTTATTCGAATGATTCTTCATCAAATCCTGAAGTTTCAGGGACAAATATTTTCGATATGCCAATTGTGTTTGCTGATCATGATGGAAATATTGACGAGGATTCCTCACGAATGTCAGATGAGGTTATTTCAATTGCTAGCGATTCACCACCGCATGTCGCCAAACAAGTTGTCTTAAAAACATCAAATGTGTCTAATTCAGCGTCTTCAGGAACGTCATCGTTTACAATCACCAAAAATAAAAATATTTTGATTCAAAAACCTTTACCAAAGCCGACACAAACAACAAGAATGTTTATGATAAACGGCACAGTGATTGGCAGGCAAGTTTCACCTAACAATATTGTTCTACCGAAATCAAATCTGACTCAAACATCTAAAATTCAAAAGATTATTCCGGGAACAAAGATATTAAATGCACAATTGAAACCGTCAACCGCGCCAGTAGGCAAGAAAATTGAAATTCTTAATAATACAATCATTAAACCGGCAACTACAACTTCTGCTGCGACTACATCAAAAATTCAACCAGCAACGTTTGTAAATTTGGCAGATACAAAAACGACAACTGGAAGGTTTTCGCTAACATCATCAACGCCGATTAAGAACCAAATTATCATTAACACAAGCACTTTAAAGCCCTACACGGGTTCACAAATTATACCAACGTCACTCGGTAACAAGCAGTTGGGAAATTTGACAGTAAAACGGTTGAATGTTCTTCCAAGTTCAGCTATCACAAAGATAATCAAGAAATCATAAATATTGATTAATTATTTCAAACTACCTATGTTTTTATTTGCTCACAAGAAATATTTAAAACAAATTTTAGGCTGAAAATAAACATATAAAATTTCATTTTAAGGATTAATCTGAATTGTACATTTTGGGAGAGCTTTTCTTAAATCTTCCTGAACTTTTTCTAGGTGCTTGACGTAAGGCAAATTATGGACTATCAGTTTTTCTAAGTTTATTAACTTTGTTAAATGTTGAAGACCATCGTCAGTAAGATTTTTACATTGAATAATCTCAACAATTTTCAGCGAATCTTTTCGGAGCATAAATTTTTTCAGTGAATCGTCTTCTAGATACTTACAATTTTTAAGAAAAATTCTATCAAGTTTATGACATCCCTTAATGTGGTCAAAACCATCGGTATTAAGTCCAGCATCTGTTGCTTCGATTTCTTTGACGAAGAATTTTGTATTTTCAGGAGGTAGTGTATTGTAATCACAGAATAGTAATGGTGAGCCGATAAATCTAACGCAGCCACCATTACGAAGAACCCATTCTGCAGTAGTTCTAAAATATAAATAAATTAAAGAATTCATGTAATATTCCAAATAGTAATTTTTATTCTTACCTGTCATATCCCAATGTTTTGGTTCTTTCTTCATCCATTTTATTGAACATGATTACTGTCCACCACCAGAGTTCTCTTTGATTTTGTTTCGAGAAATTCCTCAGCAAATCTTTAGAAAGTGATGAAGACAATTTGAACATTTTGACAAGTAGATATGCACCTAAATGAGCAATTTACAAACAAGCGAAAAACTTTATGACAAATCGCCTGTGTTTATGTTTATTTTTATCATATGTAGAACTAAATCAGTAGATTTTAGGTAGATAATGTTAATTTAAAAATAGTTAGGTAAATACCTTAGCGTTTGGCTTCATTACAAATAAAATAAATTAAAAGATCGTAAAAAGAAAAATATTAAAATCGTAGGAGATTTAAGGGAAACAATTAATAAATTTGTCCTCTGAAAGAATCGTTGAGATAATTAAGTGTGAAAATCTAACTGATGAATTAAATAGGCCAATTTTTAAAATTTAGCAATTGCTCTATAAATTTGCAACTTTTAGTACAAAACATCCCCTAGTGTAGGTTATATAATAAGTAAATTTAGGGCATTTATGATAGATAAAAGTTTAGTTTCATGGAGACCAGCAAAGAAAGTTAACGTATAGGAAGAGCTCCCAATTTCATTAACATGGCTTGCATTGAAGGGAGAAAAGAAAAATGTGCACTCTGCAATAAGACAAAAGATATTCTTCATGGAATATGGGAGCGTTGCAGTAACCGCTTAATTTCTGAATTAATTTCTGATTTTTTGCGAATAGAGGTTTAATAATGTCGTTTTCTTAATTTCTACGAAAAGTCATTAAATACTCTTTTTTTTTCAACAGTTTCATGATCTAATGTCGAAAAAAATTTGCTGTGGCTGTCTTAAAGTGTTGGAAGACGTAAATTCGTTGCGATATGAGGGCAAAATCAATGTATCAGAAAATAATTACAACCTTTCGTCCGAAGAGCTCACTCAACTGATGTCTAATAATTCTATCCGAAAAAGAACTTGGGAACAAAGCCAAAAGATAATTGTTACTCCAATGAACATAGAAATACCAAGCGATTCGTCATTGAAATCAAATTGCTGTGGTAATTCTTCTCCTTATACTCAAATGCCAACACCCATTCGCAACTGGACATCCCTTCTTGAGGAATCCTCTCAAGAGTCTTCCGAAAATAAGATTAATAATAACAATATGTCGTTATTACCATTTCTTTCGGATTCTAGTTGTAAGAAAATTACAAAAAACAATGATATAAAGTTATCAGAAGAAGATTATCCCGAAGAAGACATTATCAGTGATGAAATTGTTTACTTTATTCATTTTGACAACTAATAAAAGTTTTGGTGCACTGTACACCAAAAACATTTTTAAAAGAATTTACTAACAGTGCCATATTTTTGAATGTGAAAATAACGGAAGTAGAACAGAAAGTTTTAAAAACTCACGGTAGATCTGATTTGTAGATTTATGGTAGACAAAATATCGCTTAGAAAACAATTTTTATTTCGTTTAATAAAATATTTAAAACAACATAAAATTTCTTATTAAATCTACAAAAATCGATATTAAGAAATTATGTCAAAGAGAAGAATACTTCAATACCTAGGAAAATATTTCTTTTCTTCCACTCTTAGAAAAAAAAATCTTTGAACACATTTTTTTAAACAAATCAATGAATTAACTTTAATAGAGAAGAAAAAGGTATCCCAGTAGATTCTGGAACGTCTTCATCAGCGTCATCATCAATAACAGGAGCGAGCGGTACCATTAATCCTTTAAATGGAAATATTTACTCTCCTAACTACCACAATCTGTTGAAAAAACGAATTTTGCTTCCTGTTTTTGAATATCGTTCAGATTTCATGAGACTTCTTGCTGAACATCAATGTATAGTGCTTGTAGGTGAAACAGGATCTGGTAAAACTACTCAAATCCCTCAATGGGCCGTAGAATATGCTCGATCAATGGGCGGCAAAGGTGTTGCATGCACACAACCCAGAAGAGTTGCAGCAATGAGTGTTGCTCAGCGTGTATCTGAAGAAATGGATGTTCTATTAGGTCAAGAAGTTGGCTACAGCATTCGTTTTGAAGATTGTTCATCGCCAAAAACAGTTTTGAAATATATGACTGATGGTATGTTGTTACGTGAAGCAATGAGCGATCCAATGCTCGAAGCATATCAAGTCATTCTCCTCGATGAAGCTCATGAAAGGACACTTGCTACTGATCTATTAATGGGAGTGTTAAAAGAAGTCGTTAAGCAACGTTCTGATTTGAAATTGGTCATCATGTCAGCAACTTTAGATGCCGGCAAGTTTCAAAATTATTTCGATAATGCACCTTTAATGAATGTTCCTGGTCGTACACATCCTGTTGAAATATTCTACACTCCAGAACCAGAACGTGACTATCTTGAAGCAGCAATAAGAACTGTTATACAAATTCATATGTGTGAGGAGATTGAAGGCGATGTTTTAATGTTTCTCACAGGACAAGAAGAAATTGAAGAAGCTTGTAAGCGTGTCAAACGCGAAATAGATAATTTGGGTCCTGATGTTGGAGAACTGAAATGTATTCCACTTTATTCAACATTACCACCAGCTGCCCAACAGAAAATCTTTGAACCAGCACCACCAAAACGATCGAATGGCGCAATAGGACGAAAAGTTGTCATCTCAACGAACATCGCTGAAACAAGTTTGACAATTGATGGAGTCGTTTTCGTTATTGATCCGGGATTTGCAAAGCAGAAAGTTTATAATCCACGCATACGTGTTGAAAGCTTATTGGTTTCACCAATCAGTAAAGCATCAGCGCAACAGCGAGCTGGACGTGCTGGAAGAACAAGACCAGGAAAATGCTTCCGACTCTACACAGAAAAGGCTTACAAAAATGAAATGCAAGACAATACATATCCTGAAATTTTGCGATCAAATTTAGGTGATTTCCTAAGATAATTTTAATCATTCATTTCATTTATTAACAATTTCTTATTTAAATATATCCAGGAACTGTTGTGCTGCAATTAAAGAAACTTGGAATTGATGATTTAGTTCATTTTGATTTCATGGATCCACCGGCACCCGAAACACTTATGAGAGCATTGGAACTTTTAAATTATCTTGCAGCACTTGATGACGATGGAAATTTAACTGATCTCGGATCTGTCATGTCAGAATTTCCATTAGATCCACAACTTGCTAAAATGTTGATCGCTTCATGTTCACACAACTGTTCCAATGAAATTCTTTCAATCACAGCTATGTTATCGGGTGAGAAAAGTTATTTTTGTTTATTTTATTATAATCCTTCACAACACATACACACACACACACATACCCTTAGATATTTGTGCAATTTTTATTGATTTATCGGACGTGCGAATGGCTAAATAAAAAATTGGAATCTTTTTAACTTGATATCCAATTCGGCCATTCACAATTGTGCAACTTGTTTGCTGCGTCCATTTTCTCTTCTTTGTTTTTCTTTTGAACGTTTAAAGTCCCGCAGTGTTTTGTACGTCCAAATGAAATGAAGAAACAAGCAGATGAATCAAAGATGAGATTCGCTCACATTGATGGAGATCATTTGACATTGCTGAATGTTTATCATGCTTTTAAGCAGAGTAAGTTTATTTTGTAACTTTGATAGTCTTGCTAATTATTTTAAAATGAAATTAAATTCGTTGACAGGTAATGAAGACCCTCAATGGTGTTATGAAAATTTCGTGAATTATCGTTCATTGAAATCAGCTGACAATGTCCGACAACAGCTTGCTCGTATAATGGATCGCTTCAACTTGAAACGAACCAGCACAGAATTTACATCAAAAGATTATTACATCAACATTCGTAAAGCTTTGGTTCAAGGTTTCTTCATGCAAGTTGCCCATTTAGAACGTACAGGGCATTACTTGACCATTAAAGACAATCAGATTGTTCAATTACATCCATCAACATGTTTAGATCATAAACCAGATTGGGTTATCTACAATGAGTTTGTACTCACAACAAAAAATTACATTCGAACTGTCACCGATGTTAAACGTGAGTAAATTAAATTTAACTGTTTGATGAACTTTACATCTTGATTTTTTTTCTTTTTACTAGCTGAATGGCTTCTTAAAATTGCACCTCAATATTATGATCTTAACAACTTCCCACAATGTGAAGCTAAGCGTCAACTGGAGCTTTTACAAGCACGATTGGAGTCAAGACAATTCACGCAAGGATTTTAAGAAAATTTCCAATTTTCTTTCTTCTGATATTTAAGCTGACGTTTAGTTTCTTAATTAGCATATAACTTTGTATCTGAAATTCAATTATTAAAATATTCTGTCAGTGAAGATTAAAATACAAGAAATAAAAATATAATTTCAAAAATGATTTTATTTCATATCATTTAATCTAAGTTGCATGTTATTTAAATTTGTAACGTTCAATGATCAAAAACATCGTCAAGTTACAGAGTTGGATAAGGAAAATATTCTGGAAATTAACATTTGACGATGAATTTGCATACATCGAAGATTTCTTATGTTTTGAAATTATTTACTGACACCAACCAATGCCGGTCGAATGACCCTTTCGTGAAGTTTATAACCAATTTTACTAACAACTACAACAGTGTTTGAATCTTTGTTTGGGACTTCTTGTTGGAACAACGCTTCATGGTAATTGGGATTAAATTTCTCACCAATTGGATTGATTTGTTCGAGACCATTTCGTTTAAACACTGCATTCAATTGTGCCTTTGTCATTGTTAAACCTTCGTAAAGTGCTTTTAAATGAGGATTTTTATCATTTATTTCTTCTTTAGGCACAGCTTCTGTTGCATGCCCAAGAATATCTGATACTTCCAAGAGATCCTTGCAGAAAGATTGAATTCCGAAAATCTTGGCATCGTCAATTTGCTTTGTTAGCCTTTTGCGCATATTGTCACTGTCCGCTAGTGATCGCTTGTATTTATCCTGAAATAAACAGAAGATTTTAATCATAACTAACTCTTTTTTACTTTCGCGCTGCAAAAAATTACATCAAGTTCCTTGTTTTTTTCCACCAAAGTCTCATTTTCTTTTGATAATTTTTCAACCTCGCCAGTTAGCTTTTTTTCATTTTCTGTTAATTCAGATTGTTCCGTGTTTACTTTAGCCTCCTCACTAGCATACTGTCTTGACTTCAATGCATTTGGAGAAACCCTGGAAGTATGAAGCATAAGGTTACATCATATTGATTGGAATCCAACAAGAATAAAGGAATAAAATTACCTTAAATTTATCGTTTTTGGCAGAAAAGGTACGCATCGTGATAATCGGAGAACGAGACTTGTGTTTATTGATGCCATTCTTTTAAATTTAAGTTATTTTATCAACAAATGAAATTATTGTGAAATATATTGTGTGAATATAGAATAATCAACCTTATCTGCAAGCGTGTAAGGTTCATAGAGTAGTTGCTATAAAATATGTAGATCTTATTATTTGACAAGTTGAGAAACCAAATGTCAAAAGCGCTTACTTAACTTTGCTATAACTTTGAAGTGACTTCAAACAACAGAATTAAAATTTCATTAAATCTTCAAAATGCAACTATCAGAGCAATCAAAAGAACGACTAGGATTAGTATTTGAAGTTGCTAAAACAGTATTCCACTGGGGGTTTATTCCTACTGTTCTATATTTAGGTAAATGAAAATAAAAATGAAAATTTTATAAAAATAAATATACCTAATAAATTTATATTTCCTAAAGGTTTTTCCAAAGGAGCTGAAGCTGGAATGCCACCTTTGACAATGGCGTCATTACTTTGGCAATAAATATAACAAAAATTTGTAATAAATGAAATTATTCATGAAATAAAAATCACTGTAATTTAACCTTAAAACAGGAATTTAAAATACAATCGAAATATTTTCAGCAGAAGTTTTTTATTTCAGATGTTTGATTGGAAATATTTAACATACGCTTATTTATGCTTTAACAGCGTATTTGCGTGGTGGATATCTTGATCGTTTACGCAATTCTTTCATTGTGAGTCGGTTGGCATCCCGTTCACTTAGAGCCTTTCGCATAGCGCGCGTCTTCTTCGGTCTCAAGTCAAGAGGCTTATATTTCTTGCCCTTGTACAATTTACGAAGATTCTCCTTAGTCTTCTGGTTCATAACGATATAAACACGAGCGATGGCTTTACGAACAACGCGACTAAAAATAAGAAACAAAAGTTGAAATATTCATAAGTTTTAAAACCTTTTTTTAAAAAATTACATTTTTGAAAGTTTGGAAGGAGCTCCACCTGTAACCTTTGCAACACGAAGACCTAAAAGCTCTTGCTTCAAATCTTCAAGCTGCTTTGTTAGCTCCTTTTTGTCCTTTTGACGCAATTCTGAGCACTTCACCTTCCCCTGTAAATAAGAAACAAATTATTTTAGGTTCGTAAACATTTAAGTAAAATTTTGTCTTAGAGTAAGGTTTTTAGTCCAAGAAGCTGATTGTTCGATTATGAAAATACTTAATAGCATGTAAATATCTTATTCCTTTGCAAAAACTATCATCTTCTTATGCTATTTTATTTTAATTTCACTCACCATTTCAAAACGTGTCTGAAACTACGAAAGTTTAAAGAAAAAGAAAGAGAAAGACAGAGAAAAGGAAAGAAAATGTTTGAAGGGGTATAAAGCTAGTTGTAGATTTCGGTAGATCTTAAACTTTTTGTCTCGCAACTTGAAAATATACAAAAAAATATATTAAAAAATTGTTTTACGTTTTGTGAAAGATTTTAAATGTGCAATAATAAATTCCTCAACGAATAATCACTTGTGAACAATAATTTACTATTTGCGAAACTAAATAGTTATCTAGAGAGAGACTTAATGTGCTACGATTATTTTGAGCGATGACTTAATTTATGATATTACAGCTGTTTTCGATATTACTATCACTCGTATTTATTGTTCATTACTTATATTACATCATCAGCTCGCTTTTCAAGCGCGATATACCAAATCAAATGCAGTCAGAAGACGCCAAATTCATTAAAAAGTGAGTAACTTCTTTCCATAAAAGGTTTTCATTGGGAAAGTGAAAAATCGATAAAAAAATTTTCACTTTTTCTTGTTATAGGCGATTTAAGGGCGGAATGCTGGAAGCTCATCCAAGAGAAAAATCCATAATTGTCAACTATAAACTTGAAGCTGCCGTCTATGGAGATGGGGACGTCGTGGATCCGATGTTGGCTGAGAAAAAGGTGAATTGATGTAATACAGACAACAACAAAACTGAACATCAAGGCCTATAATACTTTTTTCGGATTGATCAATGCCATAACAACGGCATAACTTATTCAGCACATACATCAACTATCTCTAATGTTCTTCATTTGTTTACTTTTTTTTGAAGGATTGTCAACGAATAATTCGTTTGAAGACGTTGAATAACAAAACGGATGTTGCAGCACTTGCGAAAGAAGTCGTTGAAAAATGTGATCTTATACATAAATCACAGTTATCGGACGTTGAACAAATTATTTATTACTTGAAGAATCGGAAAGACCCTGGTGATTCAGGTGTGTCGAGTTTGAAATCTGCATCGGTTCGATCAAAATCGGAAGCAAGGCCAGTTAATAACGATACTGATAAGGCGACAATAAGAAATATTGACGAATACATTGAGCTTTTATATGAGGAGCTTCCCGAAAGAATACGAGGTTCAGCTTATATTCTTCAACTAGCGCGAAACCCTGACAATCTCGAAGAACTTGAGAAAAATGAAGCAGTGCTTAGTGCATTATCGAGAGTTCTTCGTGAAGATTGGCGAAAAAGTCTAGATCTCAGCACAAACATAATCTACACTTTCTTTTGCTTCTCTACCTACACACACTTTCATCCCGTCATCGTTCAATATAAAATAGGATCCTTATGTATGGATGTCATTGAGCATGAGCTCAAGCGATATGATCACATGAAACAAGATTTAGAACGACGCAAAAATGCTGAGAATGGAAAGAATGATGTCATTAAAAGTCAGGACAATTTAGATGGAACAATAATGAATGTCGAGAAACCAAAAGATGTAAGTTTGTTTCACTTGTAGTAAATTGAATGCTAAAATAACATTTCAGATGGAACCACCTCGTCGTCGAATTCCCGAACTCAAACAACGTCCAAAAAGTGGAAATTGGTCGATGGCAAACAGCATGACATCTTCTGCTTCATCATCTTCGTTACTTAAAGCGTATTCATTGAATAACAGTTACCATGAAGGGCTCTCAAAAGAATTACAAAATATGTCGAATGGAAATTCGATTGAAGAACTTGATCCAAAAAGACAAAAAGATGAAATTGAGAAATTGAATAAGCAACTGAAAACATTTGCGAAAAAACAAGAACAGTTGCTTCGTGTTGCTTTCTATTTACTTCTTAACATTGCTGAGAATACAAAATTAGAAGAAAAAATGCGACGTAAGAATATTGTGAAAATGCTTGTTAAGACATTGGAACGCCAGAACATTGATCTTCTTGTGCTTATTGTCACTTTTCTTAAGAAGCTCTCAATCGTACGTGACAATAAAGATGAAATGAAGGAACTGAACGTAATTGAAAAACTCCCACGACTTCTTCATAGCGCAAATTCTGATTTGATTCAAGCAACGCTAAAATTAATTTTTAATCTTTCATTTGATGGTCAAATGCGAGCAAAAATGGTGCGTGTTGGTTTAATATCAAAACTTGTATTATTTCTCAGTGATGATAAACATCATGCAATTGTCACGAAGGTCTTATACCATATGAGCTTGGATGACAAGGTCAAAGCTGCTTTCACTTACACTGATTGCGTTGCTTTATTGACCGACATGTTATTGCTTAATTTAAATAAGAAATCTGACATTGACCTCATATCTTTGGCCATTAATCTTGCTCTTAACAAGAAATGCGCTCAAACAATGTGCGAAAATAGTCGACTACGTAATTTATTGGAACGTACGTTTAAATATCGTGACGCATTGATGATGAAGATGATAAGAAATATTTCAACTCACGAACATTTACGTCAATATTTTGTGGTAAGTAAAGAAAATTAACATGGAGTTGAAAGTCACTAAATTAAAGAATTAAATTGAAAATATAAAAATATTTTCTTCTTTTGTATTTTTAGAATTTTGTTGATGATTTTGCCAAAATGATAAATGAATGTGAAGATGAAGATTTCTTAATAGAATGTGTAGGTGTTTTGGGAAATATGGTACTGCCTGAACTTGATTACTCCCAACTACTTCAAGCTCACAATCTTATTCCTTGGATAAGAAAAACACTTGTGCCAAGGGGTAGTGCTAAAGATGATATGGTTTTAGATACGGTGGTTTTCTTAGGCACATGTGCAACTGATGAACTTTGTGCCATGCTTTTATGTAAAGCAGAAGTAATCTTGAGTTTAATTGAATTGCTAAAAGCAAAGCAGGAAGATGACGAAATGGTATTACAGATTGTTTATGTATTTCAACAAGTGCTTCGAAATGAAAGCACTAGAAATTACATGATTAAAGAAACTGAGTCACCAGCTTATCTCATCGATTTAATGCACGATAAGAATGTTGAGATTCGAAAGGTTTGTGATTACTGTTTGGATATTATTGCGATGACAGATTCCAATTGGGCAAGTAGAATCAAACTGGAAAAATTCCGTAATCACAATTCTCAATGGTTGACGATGGTTGAAACACAAGAAGCTGATGATTTACAAGATTATGGAACAGTTGAAGATGAAGATGAATTACCACCATTTCTCACATCTGATTACTTGAATCAAATATACCAATCTGGTGATTCAAATGACGACTCCGGCGAGCACTCGAACGGATCTTTTAGTCGCCCAGTTAGTAGATACAGTAAGGACTTTGAAGATTTTGAGGTCATGAAGAACTCGCAATCACAAGAAATCTTGGAATCATTTCCAGTAAACTAATGTCATATTTTTGAAAAACAAAATTATCAATACTTTGGGGAATACGTTTCTAGTCGAGAAAACTTGCGTGTGATAACGATCAAAGATGAACAAGATATAATTTTCTTCCTTCTTTAAAAATTTTTTAAATTCATATTTATCTAACAAAATGAAGCTTAATAAGCACTGGAAAATTTCACAAGTTAAGTCAAAAAGGAAATTTTTTGTCATTTTTGACATAACTAGGGAAATTTTTGGATCATATATTTAATTCTCAATTTTATTGAGTTTTTAATTGCACAATGCTTTACATTAGTAATAGTAATGTTCTTGCTTTAAGTGTAAATAAATGTAAGCATAAATTGATGATAAGTAAATAGATCTTAAATTTATCCTTTTTTTTCTTTGAATTTATGGGAAGCTTTCTATTTTTTTTAAATATTTCCAAGACTTTCTTTTCATATTATACAAAAATATAAAATAAAGATAATTTTCTGTAATAAAAAGTTTTTTATGTTACATTTTATATTAAGAATTAGTTGTAAGAGAATTGTATTCAATTAAGGCTTCGTAATGAGGCATTCTAATAAGGCTCTGATGTTTCTTGAAAAATGAGGTAATTTAAAATTGCTTATATGCATCAATGCTCAATGTTCACACAATGAAAACTCTCTTTCATAATAATCTTTCTGATATTCATCACGAGTATATTTACGTTCAAACATAAGCTTCTCTCTATTTTCTTCTGCTTGTTTCTTAGTAAATGTTCTTCGTTTATTTTTTGGAGCATCTGATTCTACATCATCCCATCCAGGTTGTTGAGGCAAAACGTTATAAGTTGAAACTACGTTTAAATATGGATTGACGAGGAAGAATACTAAAATTTTACGATATCCTGGCTTGGTCTTATCAACTAACTCAAAAGGTGTGACAATATGTTGATAAATATTTGGAAAAACGACACAACGATCTTGCTTCGTGATCATATGGCCAACAACTTGATTTAATGGGTCATCGCTTTTTAAACCATAAATGACTTCAACACCGCGATCATCATTTTGCTCGTATATTGGTTCTTCGATTGATACACGAAAAGAAAGTTTCGATTCTGTAATGTTGTCAACTTCATAATAATAAATTCCTGTTGCGACGATTTTTTCTTCATCGATTCCCTCAACATGCCATGATCCTCCAGGATATTTCGGTTTTTCTGGTCATTCAAACTACATTCTGTTAAAGTCAATAATTTGTAAATCTTCCCCTTTTAGATCAAATATTTTTTCTGGGGCTTTAGGGACTTCAAACTTAGGAACTGGAACTGGTAGAATTGTACGATTATTTATCCATTCCTGATATTCTTCCTCCTTCTCGCTTTCATCATCACCATAATCGAACTCTTCTTCTTGATTATACCATGACCCTTGCTTAACGTCAATTATTATTCCTCGAGGATTTGCAATATCAGTAAGCGACCGATTGAACATCGGAAGAAATCTTATGAAAATCTTGCCAATTAAGTCATAAAGTTTTTTGTTTTTAAT